ACATAGAGAATGACTGCAGCAATGAAGTGACTTTTTTTCCTGAACTTTTAAAGTTTTCTGTCATGCGATTATATTTTCTTTAAAAAATGGAGGATTTAAAATGTATCTCAAGGTCTGTTCAAGTCTTCCCTCTTTCATAAAGAATTTAGCTCCTCCCCCTAAGACCCCCAGGCCTCTTTTCTGAAAGGCTTTTGTACGTGCCCACGCACAAATGCAAGCGTTTCGCACACTGCCATCGTGTGGCTTGCTTTTGGCCTCTGTATTCATATTTGTATTTGTTTCTTATGAAATGAGGCTTATCCCCTTACTAGGTGACATGACATCTTAAGTTCATTACTTCTCAAAGCAAAACTTCTTACATCTAGACATATTCGGCAAGTTTGTTTCTGATGATTGCTTTTAGCTGGTTCGCCATTGACATGGGAAGTGATCAGTGTGGTAGGAAGATGAGACAAGGACCTGGAGATCAGATGAATGCTCCAATCAGAGCCTGGGCACAATGCCCCAACTGGTGGTTCCAGGGCCCCATACTCAGGTGAAGGGAAGTGCATTGATTTGGAATTTCTGTTATGTGCCCTTTCCTTCCCAGCTCAGAGAACAGGCCTGCTGAAATTGGCTTCACTCTAAATATCCTTAAGTATTTCCCTCTGTGCCCCAGAGCATGCTGCTTGCAGAACGTCTGTAAAATCCCCATTCAGACGATGTTCTCTCAGTAGGATGTTAATGGAAACTTAGCTCTGATCGTGTTCATTGCCACAGCACAGATGAGGGCTTCTAGTCTTTAGATGTGTGGCGTATGTGTATGTACTTGCTTGTGTGTGTTGTGTATGTCTGTGCGCACATGCTTGTGTCTGTGTGCTGTATATTTGTGTGATATGTGGTGGAGTGTGCATATACGCATCTATGTGTGTGTGGTATTTATATATGTGTAAGTATGTATGTGTGGTGTATTTTGTGTGCATATCTGTGTGTGGGTGATGAATGTGTATGTGCATGTATGTAGTATAATTACAGTATATTTTTGTGTGCATGTTGCTTCTATGTATATGTGCACATGTGGTACATGTATTTTTGTGTGCATGTGTGTGTGATGTATGTGTGGTGTATTTTTGTATGTATTTTGTTTGCATTTAGGCATGTGTGTGCCTGCAGATCTGTGTGTGCATATGTGTATATTTATGAGTGTGTGTGTGCATGTGTGGTATGCCATTGTCTATGTGTCTAGTGTACACTTGGTGCCTGCAGCTCTGTGTGTGCATATGTGTATGTTTATGAGTGTGTGTGTGCATGTGTGGTATGCCATTGTCTATGTATCTAGTGTACACTTGGTGCCTGCAGCTCTGTGTGTGCATATGTGTATATTTATGAGTGTGTGTGCACGTGTGGTATGCCATTGTCTATGTATCTAGTGTACACTTGGTGCCTGCAGCTCTGTGTGTGCATATGTGTATATTTATGAGTGTGTGTGTGCATGTGTGGTATGCCATTGTTTATGTGTCTAGTGTACACCTGGTGCCTGCAGATCTGTGTGTGCATATGTGTTTGAGTGTGTGTGTGCATGTGTGGTATGCCATTGTTTATGTGTCTAGTGTATACTTGGTGCCTGCAGATCTGTGTGTGCATATGTGCTTGTTTATGAGTGTGTGTGTGCATGTGTGGTATGCCATTGTCTATGTGTCTAGTGTACACTTGGTGCCTGCAGCTCTGTGTGTGCATATGTGTATATTTATGAGTGTGTGTGTGCATGTGTGGTATGCCACTGTCTATGTGTCTAGTGTACACTTGTGTAGACATGCAGTCACGTACACACCTGCACACATCTTTCTTCAATTCTAAGAGGAATGATGAAAAAACAGAATTGCTCAGATTGAAAATATCATAGAAATAAATGAGTAAGTTGTTTAGCTTTTTGATGGTAAAATATCAGCTCTGGCTGCTGAGTAGTTAGAACTGGCTGGGAGGGAAATCCCTTAGAGAATGTTATGTGTTCTCTGAACCCCGCAGAACGGCCATGTTCCCACTCTTCCATCCTACTTTTTCTATTAGTCTTCCCTTTCATAACTGCTGCCTTAGATGGCCTGAGCTTATATATTAAGATCATATTTTCTTTTACATTTGTTCTTCATTCACATACTTTATTTTAGTGAAAGCATGCAGAAGAAATGCTAAAAGTGCTTTAAAAGTAAATATTTCATGAGTCTTTAGTTAATGGTAATAAATAGCTCTATAGAAAAGAAATGTTATTTTCACTTATTAATCATTAGAGCGCTTGATTTAAATGTTTCAAATCAGAAAGTGTTCTTATAAATTTATTCAAATGTTAAGTAAGGCTGGGCGCGGCAGCTCATGCCTGTGATCCCAGTACTGTAGGAAGCCAAGATGGGTGGATAACTTGAGGCCAGGAGTTAAAACCCCATCTCTACAAAAATACAAAAATTAGCTGGGCGTGGTGGTGCATGCCTATAGTCCCAGCTACTCAGTAGGCTGAGGCATGATCCCGGGAGGCAGAGGTTGCAGTGAGCCGAGATGGGGTGACTGCACTCCAGCCTGGGAGACAGAGCAAGATGCTATCTCAAAAAAATAAAAAACTTAAGTAAGCATAAAACTAAAATTAGAATTTTATTCTTGATTTGTATTATATATGGTAATGTAGTTTTACTGAATATCAACTAACAGTAAATTTAAAATAATGTTTATATATTTTATTATCATGAAATATTACCTTTTATTGTAGAAAATTAGAAAATAATGATTAGCAGAAAGAAAAATACTTATCAACTCTAGAGCATTTTTGTAGTAAATATGGCACATAATAGATATGTGTATACTTTGACAAATATATATAGAAAGAGATATGGAAAGGTAAATGCTAATATATATAGGTCTATGTATGTACATGTGTAGGTATATATATTTATGTATATCTGCATGTATTTATAAATATATATACAAAATAAACTGATCATACACTTATTATTTTCACTTTTGATAGGTTATAAGCATATTTATATATCAATAAACATTCACCTACAGGGTCCCTGATCATGTGGATGGAATTTCATTCTGACAATGCTGTCTATACGTGCAATTCTCTTGGTGAAATTCTCTAGGTTGCTTCCAGTTTTTAATCTTAAAAAGCCCATTGTGAAATTTTGCTTCTAGATAAGGTGAAATAAAAGAAGCCAGGTTTATCCTCCAAACTAAAAAACTAGACAAAATACAAATCAATGATTTTGAAATATACCCAGTGTTCTAAACAAGGTAAAGTTACAAGGTCTTGAATCTAATCATAAATTGCCAGACAGGTGAAGAAGCAAGAAAAACATATTGCAACGAGCAACATGATCACTGACATTTTTGAGGACTCTTTAAATTCGTCCACTCACAACTGGCCTAGCAGGAGATGGACACCTGCCCCAGAGCAGGTTAGAGATCATCCTTCAGCAGCCAGTTGCCTAAGCCCACTCACCTGACTTTTTACAATGAGCAGAACCAATCAGCTCCCTTCTTTCTTAAACTAAGGAGCAGAAAAAAGTCAGCAGTCAGTGGTGGATAATTGAGCTGAAAGGCCATACAAAGTTATGTGTGGGGTGTCATTATTCCTCTAGGTACACATTGCAATTATGAAGAGCAGAGACTCAGAGGAAAAACGGAGCAGATCTATGTCCTACAGATCTATAGGACAAACGAGGTCAGCGGGGGGAAAGGGCAGTAAGAGAGATGATTGCACTCCAGATGTGGCAGCTCTTCAGATTCTGAATCCTGGTTATTCAGCTTTTTCTGAATTGCCATGAGTTCTATACCCTCACATCAGCGATTCTTACTTGGGGAGTGGTTCGGGTTTCCCACTCCTCCCAGGAGACATCTGGCAAAATCTGAAGGTATTTTGGGTTGTCACAGCTAGGGAGGGGCTGCTGCTGGCATCTACTGGATTAAACCAGAGACATTGATAAGCATCCCACGACGTGCAGGACAGCCCCTACAACACAGAATTACCTGTCCCCAGATGTCAACAGGCCAACTTTGAGAAATGCTGCCTCACGTTAACCTCTTTTTGAACCAAATTCCTTTGCATGGGTTTCTCTCTTGCCCAAAACGCTTCTGTAAAACACCACCGTAGCTAAGGCTTTGTTCACATCCTTATTTGTTTCCTTAGGTTAAATTGCTAGAACTAGACCTGTGGGTGGAGACAGCGTTAAAGACCATGCATTATTTTTAAAGTTCAGATGGACATGGCCAATAAACGTAGCATCCTTCCACCGTTTACTCATGTGTACTGACGTCCAAGGCCGGGTCAGGCGTTATCTGTTAGGAGAACAGCTCATGAGCCTTAGCATGCATCTTTGTCTCTCATCCCTAACCTTCTCCTCTTTAGAATGTCTTCCTTGGGGTCAACTCGAGGCAACCCTGCGACACACGTAGCACCACTCCTTTCCCCGTGTCCAAGACAGCCATTCATTCATTCGACATTCGGCAAGCGCTAGCTGAATGATCACCACGTGCCTGAGAATTCTTCCTCACACAGTGCTCCAAGCAGCCACTGCTAATCAGTCGGAATTGGCACATGGAATTTAAATGAACAATAACCAAAACAGCAAAATAAAGATTGGCCACTTCTGCCCTCTGAAGGGTTAAGTCAAGGGCATTGCTTTGAGCTTTCTCCTCCTTTCTTCTCTATGTAAAGAACAGAGGAACCACTGTGCAGGCCAGAGCTGAGACAAGCTCCCCTACTTCTGAGTCACTTCGGTGTTACACCTGACCCTTCCTTTCTCCAGAGGCAGGAAAGCTTGCTTTTTTCCACCTACTTGCCCTAGCCGTAGGTCAGTAAGTGTGTCACCTCAGGGAAAGCTGTAAGGCACACCACAAAGAACCAAAACCAAAACAAAACCCTCTTCACGGGGATTTTTGGAATGTCTGAAACTGTAATTATTTCCCTTTTAGATAGTTATTAGTGAGAAACTTTTTTCCAACGACAAAAAAAAAAAAAAACCAGCACTTACCTATGAAAATCATGTCTCTTTCTGTGTGATCCTGAAACAATGTTCCGACTTCTGAGTCTGCCTCCGTTGTCCCACATTCCAGCACTATCCAGTTCATCGCGCAGCTGCTCAGACCGCGGGAGGTGTCAGGACTTCAACCTTCCAGCTTCACTGGGAGGGACGCACCTTTCCCTGATGTACCTGCCAGAGACAGGACCTTCCAGTGAGTTGTGCCAACCTCAACAGACCAGCAACAGAACTTAAGAGTCCACTCACATTTCATTTTTTGAAATCATAATGATGCACCTCAAAATTAAGAAAAAGACAAAAAGAGCAATGTCCTTACTTCTAAACAACATGCCATCTTTTTAATAAACCTTGTATCCTGGAGGCAGTGAGGGGAGGTCTCTGTTGCCCCCCTCACTTCCCTTTCTCTGAGGTTCCTTTGAATCTTCTTCATGGGCTTCAAATCTGATTCATGGGCTCAAAAGTAAAATGCATCCAAGGAAGAGGATCCCTTTTTTCCCCTGACAAACTGGCTTCTGGATTTGTCATGGCATGTGGGCACTAACTGTTACTTAACAGACGACTAAACTCTGCTGCAGCACTGCCAATTTTCCAATAAATCTTCTTCTAATTTAAAGGTCTGGAATCATCAGTCACTTCCCAATGTTCACTTAAAGATATTCCATTTTTTACCTTCTCCAAATAAGGTAACCCTAAACAAACTGGTAACTCCAACTCAGGTTCCTTATTTATTTCCTGCACTGGTCTGTAAACCTGAAGACGAGCAGAAATACACCCTGACTTGACCTGGTCCTGGTTTCCTGAGATAGTCAACAGTCCTCGAAAGAGAAAGGATTTACCGCTGTGGATTTAAGGGCAAAAGTAGTTCAAAACAATGGATATTGTTTAACTTCTCATACTAAGATGTAACTTACATTGTCGGGAAACCTAGGTTTTCTCTCTCTCTTCTCCTCTCAATTGGTTTTCTCTGTGTGCAAATGACTGGCAAGCCTGGGAGAGATACCAGCCCTGTGTTAACCCATGGCTCTGCCTCAGCCTTCTTAATTAGGAATGGGTACACTACAAAGGTGGGCGAGAAATGAGGTGGTGATGGCTGGGGGGTGGCTAAGTGAAGGCACAGTCGGGTCTTCCCCAGTGCTTTCTTCAGGGTCATAGAAGGACCCAAGCACGAAACTAATCTTCAGGTGTTTCTCAGGGCCGGTTGTTCTTGGCAACTGCGGGTTGGGGTTGGCCTCAAAGCCCCAAGATGCACCTGTTGCACGTGTGCATTTCAGGTTGAATTTCATACACGACAGATTCTGAAATACTTAGCAAAGAAAAAGTCAGTGCTGGATAAAGGCAGCATGGTGATACTGACTTTTCTGTGTTTTTGTTGGTGGTGGTGGTTTTGGCCTTAATTAATAAAAACCTTTCTCATGCATTTACGGCTGAATTAACTACATCTGAGTTTTATCGTGAGATATAAAAATTACAGATATTGTATTAGGGTTCTCTAGAAGGACAGGACTAATAGGACAGACGTATACATAAAAGGGAGTTTATTAAGGAGTACTGACTCACATGATCACAGGGTGAGGTCCCACAGTAGGCTGTTTGCAAGCCGAGGAGCAAGGAAGCCAGTACAAGTCCCAATCCCCAAAAGTAGGGACGCCGATAGCGCAGCCTTCAGTCTGTGGCCAAAGGCCCGAGAGCCCCTGGCAAACCCCTGGTGTGAGTCCAAGAGTCCAAAAGCTGAAGAACCTGGAGTCCGATGTTTGAGGGCAGGAAGCATCCGGCACAGGGGAAAGACGAAGGTCGGGAGACTCAGGCAGTCTAACCCTTCCGCGTTCCTCTGCCTGCTTTACTCTAGCTGTGCTGGAAGCTGATTCTAGCTGCGCTTGCAGCTGCGCTGGCAGCTGGGTGCCCACCCAGAGGGAGGGTGGCTCTGCCTCTCCCAGTCCATTGTCTCAAGTGTTCATCTTCTTCGGCAACACCCTCACAGACACACCTGGGAACAGTACGTTGCATCCTTCAATTCAATCAAGTTGACACAATATTAACCATCACAAATAATAAGCAAAAATGATCATTTTTACCATTATTATCTCAAAATTATGAAGGCTTCTATTTATAGCACTTGCAGTTTTTTTAAAGTGAGATTCATAAAACTGTGTTCCCCCAGCACACTGAATCCTACTGTCATGACTTGGCATGAAAAACAGCGACCCACTCAGAGTCCAGTGACCACGCACCCTCCCCTGTGATGCCAACTGCCAGGTTTACTCAGTGTTTGACTGTGGTTCACTATTCATCTGACAATATTTTTTTGGTGCGTATGGTGCTAAATGTTGGGAATGCAAACCTGGATAAAGCACCATCCTAATTCCTGCCTGATGGTTTTCCTGGGTTTCACTGGCTATGATTTCTGATCCCTCCCTCCCTCCTTCCTTCCTTCTGTCCTTCCGTCCTTCCTTTCTTTCCTTCCTCCCCCCTCCCTCTCTCCTTCTTTCCTTCCATATTTTCTTCCTCCCTTCCCTCCCTCCCTTCTTCCTTTATGTCCCCCTCCCTCCCTCCCTTCTTCCTTTATTTCCCCCTCCATCTCTCTCTCCGTCCCTCCCTTCCTTCCTTCCCTCCCTCCCTCCCTTCCTCCCTTTCCTCCCTCCCTTCTTCCCTTCCCTCCCTCCCTCCCTCCCTTCCTTCCCTCCCTCCCTTCCTCCCTGCCTTCCTTCCCTCCCTCCCTCCCTTGTCTCTTAACCACTGTTTGTTAAGGGATGGCTCCACACTGAATTCTGGTAATCATTATGCTTTTCTTTTGCTAAAAGTGGAATGCAGAGGTGAATTGTCTAGAGCAACTAAGGGTATGTGGGAGGAGTTGATGCTTTGCCTCTCACAGGTGAGTCTCTCCCAGGAAATGATAGAGATGCTTACAGGTGGTTTTAGGCAGTGACGCCCTGTGGGGTAAGAAGATCAGTCCAATCTGATTGCTTACCAATGTTTTGGCATTAAATTTATGGTTTGCAGACCTGAACCTGGCCTTAAGGTAGGTGCGGGGTGAGATTGTAAGCCCCTAAAGGTGTAGGAGCCCATTAGAGATAAAAGGTAAAACCAGAAATGCAGCGGCGGCCATCTGAAACCCATTCAGCCTGATGGGCATTTTCTAGACTCAAGGGCATCCTTGTTTCACTAGAAAAGGGCAAAGACGGCAAAACAAAATCATGAATATCCATTGCTTTCTCAAGTTCTTTATGGTTATTTTCTACAATTTAGATGTGCCTTGTCCCCATGAAAACCCACGTGGAAGTTCAATTTCAAGCAACAGCATTGGGAGGTGGGAGGAGTGGGAGGTGTTTGGGTCATAGGTGGGTTCCTCATGATGGATTGGTACGGTTGTCAGGATAGTGAGTGAGCTCTTTTGCAGTGTTTTCAGGATTAGTTCTTGCAGAAGTGGATTAGTTCCCTCGAGAGTCAGTTGGTATTGTCCGGGCATGGTGGCTCACGCCTGTAATCCCAGCACTTTGGGAGACTGAGGTAGGTGGATCACAAGGTCAGGAGTTCGAGACCAGCCTGACCAACATGGTGAAACCCCATCTGTACTGAAAATACAAAATTAGCTGGCTGTGGTGGTGTGTGCTTGTAATCCCAGCTACCCGGGAGGCTGAGGCAGGAGAATCACTTGAACCCAGCGGGCAGAGGTTGTAGTAAGCCGAGATTGTGCCACTGCACTCCAGCCTGGGCAACAAGAGTGAAACTCCATCTCAAAAGTAAATAAATAATAAACTTTACTGAATCGATTAATGTTCCGATAAACTGGAGACAGCAGTAGGTCCCCACTTGCCTTAGTGAATCAGGTGGAAGGTTAATTAAAGTAATGCATGGTAGTATATATGAAACAATAGGATTCTTTGCTCACAGAATATCTATAAGACAAGTCTTATAGATAATTAAAGATTACTTTAATTAATCTTCCACCTGATTTCATATATATGATCCAGTCTATAAGACAAGATAAGAGAGCACAGGGAACCTGGGCTCTGCACGCCACTGTCCCATTGCTGCTTGCTGCTTTCCACTGCCCATGCCTATCCTCACGCCACAAGAATAGAGGGGGAGTTATAAACCACTGGTCTGTGTAAAAATATTCTTCAAGCCATTAAAAGTACGTACATACATAAAACCGTTCTGTAGATGCTCTCGAGAGCTAACCAACAGGGTGACGGAGTCTTTAGAAAGCATTAAGTGAACTTCGGCATAACCATTCAAGAAAAAAAAAAGTAATTCACCAAAATGAGTAAAATTCCAAATGTCTTGTTGTTTAAATGAGTAGGTGCTAGTAATCTGGAAAAATTCAAGCAAGGGAACACTTCGTTCTTAGACAATGCCAGGAAAACAAGGCCCTTATATTGATTTTGAAGTGTTTCCAGGAAATGGAAGAAATTTTCAGGTAAGAATTTGCCCAGCAGCACTGTGTGTGGTCATCAAGCCATTGATAGTTCTGATAATCAGGCAGCCCCTGACCCTCTCCAGTGCCCAGCCGGCCACCTCTGTGTGGCACTGTCGTGGACAGGGCTGTGTCTCTGCATCCTCCTTAGCTCCTCTGTGATCATTGCCATGCGCTTCACCTCCTGTTTCTACCTGTGGACATTTTCACAAAAGGTACTTCTCCAAGCAAATCAACAGCTCCAAATTCAGACCCATTCATCCGTGCAACAGATGTTTACTGAGTGACGATGTCCTGCCAGAATCCCTGCTAAATGCTAAGAATACAGGAATGATCGAGAGAAACACAGTCCCTTGGAAATTACAGCCCAGTACAAGAAAGAGAAATGCAAAAATGGTAATTGTCAAATAACAATAACTGTGATAATCACTGAAGAGATGGAACTTGCATTTATGGGACCACAGTGTTAAGTTTCTGCAAGAAGAATCTGGGGCTTATCTACTAGCTTATGAATTTGGTTTACTCATTAAAACAGCAAAGTGCATTTCATCATTTGGGAACAGCAGAAAAAATGTAGGTGTTGATAAGATGCTGCCGTGTTATTGGGTAGACTATAAGTATAACCCACACTGTTCTTCAAAGTGGTTACATTGTTGGTTTAGAAAGCTATGGAAATGAAAGGTGTAATCAGTTTGCATATTTTCTCTTAAGTCTCTTGAGTGAGCCTATATACTAGAACCTAGGAGATTTCCTACAATCCAGTAAGGCTCAATTTCAAAAGATGCTGAGAGGAAGGGACAGACGCTCTACAGAACAGCTTCATTCTGAGGAAAATTCTCCAGGGCTCAGAGCTCACACTAACCTGAAGACAATGGCATAGATCTGTGCCATCCTTCAACAAAGAAAACGGGGAGAGAAGAAAGGTTGATTATATGACATGTTGTGTTAATACACAGGCTTATTTCTGAGGGCACTTGAACGATGTCTTTTGTTCAACCCAGTAACTTTCACTAAAGATGGGGAAGAGTGATGGGACATCAAGTCATGGCCATGGACTGGGGGAGGCACTTGTCTTTCCCACGTCCCTTACCATAGCATAGGAGTCAGCTCCCCTTATCTGCTTAGTAGACAAAGGATAAGGAGAAGAGAGAGAGCACTTTTACCAGGGCACGTGGGGGTGGCAGGTGGACAACTCTGTGGGGCTGTTTATGTCCTTTGTAAAGACTTGTCTTTAAAACCACATTCGGCTGCCTGGCCGGAAGAATTTGGTTTCATGGAAAGTGATTACACAGGCAAACTGCCAACCATGCTGGAGGGTTCTAACTCTTCTGCAGCTAAACGGTGGCATGGGCAGTAAAACTGTTTGTGTGAGAAGGAGAAAATCATGGACAGAGCAGAAGCCTTCTCTAGGGCTCTGTTCAGAAACTTTACCCCACAGAAAAAGGCTATCACCACTGAAGAGGGGCAAGGACTGATCGTGAGTCTTAAGAAATTCAGATCGGACAGTATTGTCTGAAGTTTGATGAATTCACTGCTTCTGTTGGACTTGATGAGTTCTGAGCCCATTTCCTTCATGATTTTCTCCTCTAGTGTCTATTTCAAATCAATAGGAATACTTGAAGATTCTCCCTGCTACAATGTAAATGTCATGAGGAAACAGATGTGTTGCACTTGTTCCTTGCTGTATTTGCTGGTTCAGAACCTGGCACTGAGTAGACGTCAAGAAATAGTTAAATGAATGAATGAATGAATGAACTTTGGCCTCTTATAGAGCTGAAGGTGTCTTACCGCTACTAAGAGCTGACATCAGGAGGGCTTGCTGCAAAGCCAGGCGCTGTACTCCACATTGTATTTTCGTCATCTCTTTTAATGAGACTTCTTTACCACGTGTATCTTTTAAAAGACCTGAGAAGTAGCCGGCAGTGGTGGTCAGCTGTTACTCTGGTAGCTACAGACGGAATCCAGGACACAGAACTTCCTACGGTATCACAGCTTCATCTTCCAGGCTGCAGCTCCCTCTGCCTACATCAGAACCGTCTGCAGGTCCATAAGCTGTGAGTTTCTTTGGGGGCTGGGGGAGTTTCTTTTGGATGTTTATAACTTATGCATCTTGATATTGAATGTGCACTTCATACATGGAGCCTCATAGTACTTGATTTTTTATATTAAAAAAATCACAATTAAAATTTCTCGAAGGAATGCCATAGAATAAATATGAAGATCACTTAAGTCCCTTCCTGCGCTGGACATAACAATGCAATTCTGGTAGCTGATAGAAAAGAAAGATGAACGTGGAGGGGAAATGCAGATGGATAGGCAGCTGCTCCATTTACCTGATTTATCTCCCGTCCTTGCAGATAATCTACCTTTCAGGCCGTCTTGCTTTCTGTCAATCTATCTTTTTCTCTTTCTTCACACCTACACATCTATCTAGCTACCTGCTTATCTCTGCCTGTCACAGCACTTCTAAGCAATATGATTAACAGGACTGGGTTCTTTACCGTGCTACTTCATCTGTCGACACCTGCGATGGAAAACCTCCTGCCTCATCA